GATCTAGTTGAATGACCACTTCCAGAATTTGATTTGGGCAGCAATGCACAGAGAGTTCCATAATTGGCACCTTACCTTGGAAGATCTGAAAATATAAATTAATACCACTATACAAAACATAATTCTGAAAAGTCAAGGCATCAGACAATGAAAGAACTGTACAGTGATGAGTCCAACCAGGAAGTTTTTTATTATTATTAAGATTAGGGTTGGGAATAGACTAGTAATAGTTAGAGTTAGAGAAAACATCTGTGTTAGGCATAAATATAGTTGCAAACATGAATGGAACTCAATTCAAAGTCCTTGGTTTGATGGAAGTGCAAGGACGTGTGTGTGAGTGTGTATGTGTGAGTGTGAGCGTGTGTGTTTTCAGGTATCTGCATCTTAGTGTGAAACTATTTGATGCTGAGAGAGGAAAAGTGTTGCAGTGATTTCTAGAAGGATAGCCACAGGCATCCTTTGAACTTCCTACAACAGCAAGAGTCTTAATCTTCTGCAGACAAAAAGGTTAATTCACCCTCAATTCCAAAATCAAACAACCCACAATCCTAATTTTGTTTAGATCCTTAAAAAATGTTGTTAAAAATTAACACTTTATTGAAATCAAGGCAATGGTTCAGTTTTATTTATTTTTTTAGGCGAGGCTTTGTGGAAAGTTTATAAATGAATAATATCTTACCTGTTTTAGATAACTCTTTAAATAACCTCAAAATTAGAAAACGGGTGCTGTTTTAGTCTAAGCGGATGAGACAAAAGTGGATTCCAGCTGTAATCAGATTTTTCTAAATAGAYTGTAGCGTCTCAACTCAGGGACTGGCACTTGGAAAAGTTTTAACAGTTTTATTTATGATTTACACATATAATAATGGCAGGTTTGTAGGTAAGTCTGAGGGAAAATTCACTGAAATAGAGGAATGTACTAAAGATGACCTAGAGACAAAATCCATTGATAATGTGAATGTTTTTATTTCCTACTTATCTCCTTTTTCAAGCTCCAAAAAGGAGGAAGGAGAATCCAGGAAGCAATGACATGGTGGAGAGTGGGTCAGGCAAGTGCTGAGGTGACTATTTCTATGATTCAGATTTTAACTAATTGTTCAAAGGAGATGGCTCAAACTGTCTAAGGAAACTGTGCYAGGTGTATCTCGGGATGCATCAGGCAGAGAACAATCAATATAACAAGTTCAAATGARTGTAGCCATGTGATGATTGATTCATACTGAAGAAGACGGAGGCCATAGTTAAGTTGTTCTGT